GTGTTGTGGCAGTAATGAGTGGAAGGGGGCAAAGCGTGGCAGGGTCGTACGTGTAAACATTGCCCTGGTTGTACTAATGTACTCTTCGCTACAGAGTTCCACACTACCAATCGTACATACACCACCTCCTTCTTTTCTTCTTCTTTTTCATTCTTACTTTAAAAAAAAAAAAAATTATTAAAATATACTTGTCTTCAAAAATTAGGAGAACAAATTATAAAATAAGTTTAATTTTGTCTTTAAAAATTACTCATTTATAATTATAATACAGTAACTAAAAAAATATGTTTAATTATCTTATTTTTATTAAATTTATTATAATTTTTTATTATATTATTTTAAATTTCATTTACGTAATAAATGAGTAGAGAAAAATTATAAAATAAGTTCAATCGTATATTTTTTATATTTTAATATATGTTATTTTCATCTCATAGTTTTAATTCTTTATATTTAGTACCTTAAGTTTAAATAAAAATATGTAACATGTTTAAACAAAAATACAAAATAAATATATAAAAATATAATTAATTTTTTAATTTTTTAATAAATAAATTAATTCGAATTTTAAAAATCTGAAAAAAATATGAACTATTAAAATTAAGAAACTAAAATTGTATGTACGAGGTTAAAGTTTATAGAATAAAAATATAATTAAAATAAATATAAATATATATAATTATAATTAAAAAATAAATTTTGAGATGATAATTATATTAAGAGTAAAATTATAGAATAAATATATTTAAAAAATAAAATTAAATAGAAATTTTTTTTTAATATATATATCATTAAAAAAATTTCACTCAATATTTATGAAAATCACGTCGTTATAGTGACTTTTTAGTTAAATATTGAATGCATTTAATAACATAAAATTATAATTTATTTAATTTTTTAATTTATTTTTGTCAATAAATTAATAAATTTGTTTGATAAACGTAAAATAAAATTAATTTATAATTTTAAAATTAACTTATACAAATTTATTCTGATTATTATATTGCAAGCTAGCTTTCGGTGTTGTTTTTATATTTACACAAAATAAATTTAGTATTTTTATTTTTAGAGCATGTTTAAAAATATAAATTTATAATTAACAAGTTAGTATAATTATTTAATAAATAAAAAATTTTAAAATATAGCTTTTGAAATCGAGTTTATAACTTTTTAGAGTTAATTTTAAAAATTTTATTCTAAGCAATATTTAACTCATTAAAAAATTATTTTAAATTATTTTTGACCGTTAAATAATTTATATTTACACTATCAATCTTAATATTATTATTTTAATTTAACATATTTTGACTAACTGTGGAATTAATTTTATCAAATTGTTACTGTACAATCTTCTAATTACAAGTTAATAAAGTTTTAACCTGCTTATTTACTACAAGCAACACACTTTTATGTTAATTTATCATTATAAGTTATAATTTTTATCTAATTTTATTTGACAGAATCTTAATCATTTAACACATCAATTATTTATGCAACTCATTTTATTAAATAATTAATTATAAAATTTTAACTATAAATTATAGACTTTTTAACTAATTTATTTATAATATAAATTAGAGATTATAAGTTTTTACCTACATTTATTGAATCCAACCATTTCGCAGGCAATTTTTTTAATTAATTTAAATTGTGTTAGGTGAGATAATTCAATGCAATTGATAAATGATGCAGTATGCTTTGTTTGTTTTACAAGCAAAGCAGAAGTTACACGACTTTTAATGTATATATTTTTTATTACACTTGTTTAATTTTAAGTTAAGTAAATGTTTTTTTTATGAAATTAATTTTAAATTATTATATAATTAAGGTATAAGTATAAATTAATATAAATTATATTTATTAATGTATATGTTTTCCCATTAAAGATGCAAAAATTATTTTTTTTACTTTAAAATAAATACGCCAATTATAACTCAATTTTCTCAAAACAAAAAACATTCAATTATAGTCAATGGAAATTTAACGAAAAATAAACAGGTCTGTAACTGATGCGATAAGGGAACCTATTATTTAATTTTCGTTTATTAAATTATATTGAACAACTTCTAATCTACATAACCACAAAATATCAATATTTTACGTTAGATTATATCAACTACACCCTTTTTTTAACCACGTTAAATCTGGATTCCAATCACTCGTGCTATCTTTATTGGCATCTCATTGCAAGTTGCTTGCCAATGAATATTTGGAATTGTTGTTGTGTGTCTTTTGGATGGTCAACACTTAATTAAGTCGTTTCGTTAATTTGGTTTAAAATATTTATATTAGGATTTAAAATTCATAAACATTTTTTATCATTCTAATTGACATAACCAAGGCAATGCTTGAACTTTTAAAATCCAATATTTTCTATTAAATAATTTTTTCGGACACTTTAGAGATGCGATGCGTATATATATAAAATAAAATAAAGTCCAAACTAATAAATAAACGGATTGTGTGCTTTGGTAAAAAATAAATTTGCCAGAATTAATCTTGTCTTTTAAAGTTAAGTGTAAATATTTAATGATAGTAAACTTTTATTAAAAAACATTTATTATATTTTTAAATATAATAAATATTAACATTTTGATAAAATTATAGTGTTGATGCTTAAAATTAACGATAAGAGCTAGCACTAATCAAGTTGTTATATAAAAAATATATTTATGATATATTCCATTTAATTAATAACATAGTTTTTTCCTACATACACTGCATTAAAATTTTTATTTTTAAATCTTTTATCCTTTTTATTTATGTCATTTTCATATTTTCTTGAAATAATTTTGAATACATTGTCAATATATTTTTGTACACTATTAATTAATTAAAAAACATTAAAAATATTTTTTTCAAAATAATTACCATAGAAACAAATTTTTTTGATAATATGATAATTTATAAATAAATTATAATATAAAAAACCGTCAATATGTAACTTTTAAAATGCTCGCTAATTTATCTATTTTCTATTATTACTCGTATTATAGTTAAGAAAAAAAATTTTGAACTAATTTCTATTTTGGTTCAAAAAAATATTAAAACATTAATTTGGTCTATACCAAAGTTATTCTATTAATTACATTTTTCGAATAACAATTCAAACATTAGTTTGATTTTGAGGCATAAGTTAATTGGTAGGAACATATTTTAACCGTGACCATTACGGGTGAATTATAATTATTGGCGTGACATGGTATTTAAAAAAAATGTTAGTTACATATCCCTTAACATATTTTTTGTAATATTTTTTTATAAATTAAAATTATAAAAATAATACGAATTTTATATTATTTATTTATAAACTAATTTTTTATATTTTAATTAATAATAAAAAAGATGTTAAAAAGAGTATTGTTTGCATTTATTATATTATTTATTCGATAAGAAGAGAATAATAAAAATTTGAGAGTGGGAGGGGGAGAGGCCATACTGAGCACTTACTGAGTGCCTAAAAGCAATGTATGAGAGCCATAAGTGGATGGGCCTCATGGGCCTCATGTGCCCCTAACACTCTCAGACGCATCACCAGACAGGGTCAAGCGATACGACCCCCACGTGTCAGACATCCCAACCTGAAGTTTTACTGCTCCCACGTTAATTTGTCGTCCCAGGATGTCTTTTCCCCCACGCGCTTTCCAGTCTTCCACAACTCACCGTCCCACTCGACGTACACATACACCAAAAACTTTAGTCACAAGGGTTTTGGTAGTTTCCAACTCAAATTTAAACTTCCAAAGTAATCTTTTTTATTCAAAATATTAATTTTAATCAAAAGATACAAGAGAAGAAGCTAACGAGGAAATTGTTAGTTTATTTAATAAAACGACGGATTTTGAATTTGAATATATTTGGAAAGTTATAATTATATTTAACATAATATAAAATATATGTAAAAATTGAATCAATAATGAAAATACATCACAGGCACAGCACTAAAGACTGTTATATATTCGGAGATCTACTAGAAACAGTGGTTTGATATCAACATGGAAAAGTGAGAGCTCCTCCGGGGCGATTCATGGTTGGGGACACTTCTAAAAAGTATTCCTATGTCCAATCTCACTGAAGCACTACCAAAATAGCAGTGAGATTAAAAATTAGCGTATTACTTGACACATTTGTTATCTGGATGTTCTTCTATCATGATGGGTGATGGATTTTTTGTATTTTAAATTAAGATAAAATTTAACAAGGCTTTATTCATGATGTCGGAGTCTTTAATGTGGAAAATATTACTTGCAATCTTCTTTTAAAAATTATAACTTCAATCTTCTTATAAAATTTATGTTAATAACTTACTCATTTAATATAGGATTTTAAATCCTTTTATATTGATAAAAAAAACATAATAAGATCATGTTGAAAAGAGAAAAACACATTTTTTTATCAAATAAAACTCACGTTAATTATTTGTAAGTTCGAGTAATTAAAGTTAATGAAAGTTGTGTCTTTCTCTCAAATACAGTGATATCATATTACTTAATAATACATGAAGATTTAAAAATTTTCATATATAACTCGTTAATTTATTATATAATTTAGACTGTCTGTTACCATTATTTATTTATTTATCTAAAAAGGAGTGGCAATAAATATTTATGAATTCGAATACAGTTCAACTTAAAACATATGATTATTTTTTTAATGTGAAGAAATTAATCATTTATTTTTTATAAAAGCACACGAGGGAGGAAATGGAGTACATAGATACACCAAAGCGGCAATGGCGCGTGCATAAAAAAGAGGACCCAATCTAGGAACTTACTTTTTCCAAGATTTCGTCATGCGCTCATGGCGGCGCAGCTCTAAATATTTCCCCCAAAAAAAACTTACCCATTAATTTCATTTCGTTTATAAAACCCCACTAATTCCATAACGAAAATAAATAAATAAATAAATCATAGTATTGATTACCAATAACAACAACACTAATACAATACTATAATACACCTTCCCTATTAACATTACCCATCAATTTCCTATTTTCCGTTACATACGGTTCTATTAGTTTAGAGTGTTCTTGGTATGTAATAACAAAATCATGACGGTTATGATTTCACCTATCCCTCTCTATATATATCATAACCAACCTCTCCCATACTCACATCTCATCTTCTTTGGTTCTCTTTCTCTCTGTGTCACTCTCATTCCCTTCAAACTCCCAAGTCCCAACCATGACAACCCACATTGATAACCTCTGGTGGGTGTTAGCCTTATCCTCCAAATGCACACAAGAAAACATTGCATGCTCTGTTCTCATAATCGCTTCACTGTGTCTCATAACCATGACTCTCTTCTACTGGTCTCACCCTGGTGGTCCTGCTTGGGGTAAGTACTACTCAACTTGGACAAAATCAAACAACAAAATCATTCCTGGTCCAAAAGGGTACCCTGTGATTGGGAGCATGAATCTCATGCTCTCACTCGCGCACCACCGTATTGCTGCCGCAGCAAAAGCATGCAACGCCAAGAGACTCATGGCTTTCAGCCTCAGCGACACACGTGTCATCGTCACGTGCCACCCTGACGTCGCTAAAGAGATTCTCACCAGTTCCGTTTTCGCTGATCGTCCCATAAAGGAATCCGCTTACAGTCTCATGTTCAACCGCGCCATAGGCTTCGCCCCTTACGGCGTTTACTGGCGCACCCTCCGAAGAATCGCCACCACCCACCTCTTCTGCCCCAAGCAAATCAAAGCCTCCATACTCCAACGCGCCGAAATCGCCACTCAAATGATCCACTCCTTCAAAAACCACCATGGCGGTTTCCAGGTTCGCCAGGTTCTAAAAAAAGCTTCGCTGAATAACATGATGTGGTCCGTGTTTGGACAGAGGTATAAGCTAGACGAGCCAAACAGTGGAATGGAAGAGTTAAGAGGGTTAGTGGAACAAGGGTACGACTTGTTGGGTACCCTTAATTGGGGTGACCATATCCCTTTTCTCAAAGACTTTGACCTTCAAAAAATCCGGTTCACTTGCTCCAAACTCGTCCCTAAGGTGAACCGGTTCGTTAGTACAATCATCGCCGACCACCGAGCCGACAAAACCCAAACCAACCGGGATTTCGTGCATGTCTTGCTCTCTCTCCAAGGACCCGATAAATTGTCTGACTCCGACATGATTGCGGTACTATGGGTAAGTCCAATTTCCTTTTTATTCAACCGTAAATCATTTTAATCTATTTTACTGTTATCATAAAAATAAATAAATTTGTATCGTATGTAGTTAGTAAAATTTTTATTCAATATGTTATTATTAATTTTATATAATTTTAAAATTTTTTTGGGGGACAGGAGATGATATTTAGGGGGACCGACACGGTGGCAGTTTTGATCGAGTGGATACTAGCGAGGATGGTGCTTCATCCTGAGGTGCAGAGGATGGTGCAAGAGGAGCTTGACGAGGTGGTTGGCGGCGGTGCTGTGACGGAGGAGGACGTGGCGGCGATGGTGTACCTGCCGGCGGTGGTGAAGGAGGTTTTGAGGCTGCATCCTCCGGGCCCACTTCTCTCGTGGGCCCGTTTGGCCATCACTGATACGACCATTGATGGGTATCACGTGCCAGCTGGGACCACGGCCATGGTTAATATGTGGGCCATAGCTAGGGACCCAGAGGTGTGGAGGGACCCACTTGAATTTATGCCCGAGAGATTCGTCGACGGAGAGCCCGACTTTTCGGTTTTTGGGTCGGATCTGAGACTCGCCCCGTTCGGGTCGGGAAGGAGGACTTGCCCCGGGAAGACTTTGGGTTTGAGCACTGTGACCTTCTGGGTGGCTAGGCTTTTGCACGAGTTTGAATGGGTACCGTGTGATGAAGGGAATGGGGTTGATCTAACGGAGGTGCTTAGGCTCTCTTGTGAAATGGCTAACCCTCTCACTGTTCAAGTGCGTCCTAGGCGTGCCTATTAAGCTTATATCATATCTAAGTTGACTTGAAACTTTGTTTTAATGAGGCAAAAAAAAAAAAAAAAAAAAAGAACAGAAAAAGAAAGAGAAGGTTTAGCATGTGGCAGGTATATGACCCTTTGGAGCCACTATTAAGTGAAGGTAGAAACTTGAGTTGGCTCTGTCTCTTTAGTATGGGTCATCAGGTTTTTCTCTTTTTCTTGTTTTTGGTTTTTAAGTTGACCGTCAAGTCTCAAGTTGTCTGGTTATCAAAGAGTAGAAAAATATCTATTTCCGTTGTAAATATTTGGTGAACTTAATACAAGTTTTAAGTTTGTGACTCTCACCTTTTATTTAATAGTTAAAACCAATTTTTTTTAATAAATGTTATAATTTTTATTTGGCACGTTATTTAATACATATTCACACTACAGATAGTACATGCCAGTGCTGGTTTAGCTATTCGCAAGTCGGCACACGTGATTTTCTGAACATTAGTGCAAGTATGTTACGGATTGCCATATGAGAGTCATGCTTATATGTCTAATCAGTGTCTTGCATGCTTGAATGAGTTTTATTGTGGGACCTAAATTAATGTCCTGCTAGGACTTGCTGTAACAACCCCTACCAAGGCAAGCTAATTAGTGCTGTACTATTGATATTCATGTCTGGATTTTAGTAGTATTTTACAAATCATCACCCAATGCACAAGTTACATTTTTTTTTCTTTAGTTCATACTTAAGTTCGAGATTCAGAAATATATAAACCATTTATTTGTAAATATAAGTTTTGAAGAAGCCAGGTAACTTTTTAATTTGTTTTTTACTCTTGTAAAAAATATGTATTATAATTATTTGGTTAAATTAATAACAACAAAGAACAATATGTATATTTAAATAAGAGTACATGAAAGTAATAATAGACTTTTTGGATATATATATTCTCCGAATTCCCTGAAGAGGACGTCAAGTGCTTGATGGTATATGCTTGTGTTTGCAACTTGGGCTGGTCATTTATCTATCATGCTAGGAGTTGTCAATTAAACTAAAATTTGAATGATATTGGCAATTTGGCACTATGGAGTGACAGACAAAAACCTTGGCCTGATCTGGCTCTACACAAAGTACATGGTTCCCTGGGCTTTCTAGTTCCTTGGCAACTGTGACTCTTACACAACGACATCTCCATTACTGTGGGTGGGGGCAACAATGGTTTTCTAGTTGTCCTCACTTCCTTCCACCTATGACGGTCTACACCACTAGCTCTTTGTCACAAATTGGACCACAATTGATCTATGTGTAAAATTTTCAAAGGAGAGGTATTGTAGTGACTTCAGCTATATCTGTAATTGACAGCCAATTGGTACTATCTTACTCAAATTTAGCACATACAAAAGGGAATGTTTTATTTATTACAAATCTTTTTATTAATCCCTTTTTCCCGTTTTGGTCAATTTCAAATTCAATTTATGTCAAGCTGTTTTGCCCCCATTTCAATGAAAATGATTACTATCCTGAGTAAAAGGGTCTCAAAATGATTATTACTAACAACATCTTCGCCAATTTTGCGTACATATAGCTAGCTGTAACCATTCAGGTCAATTTCAATCTTGTTGACCATGGTCTTCAATTTTCTTACTCTTGTCAACTGAGACTTTCTATTTTGTATTTTTCCCTTTTTTTCTATTCCTTGGTTCATTTGTATAGACAGATGTTACTTTATTCCCCATACTCCTCTTCAATAATACGGATTTGATTTTTAATCGTTGCATTCATAATATTTTTTTTTTTACGCAAAACAAATTGCCCCTTCTTCCTGAATGTGAAATTGCATTCTGCAAACTATAAGAAGAAACTTTTTCAATTAAGTCAATTGACTAAGTAGGAACAAATTAAACAATTCACTATCAACAATTTTATTTACTAGTAGTGAGCCCTCAGGATAAGAACTATGACTAGTTCATAAAAAACTTGCACGTTTATGATCTTAACTGGGCCCAGCCGTTGTGACTTGCCTTGGGTATTGGGTAAGAATCCAAATCCATTAAATATCAGGTTCCAACTTTTTAGGAAACAAAATGAATATTGCAATGACAACTCCAATTCTATGGAGGACATAGCAAAAGATACTAATGTTTTTGTTCTGTCTGGCTTAGGTTTTCTCTCCCGTTTATTTCTTTTTTAATAATAAGAATATGCCATATTTACGCAGGGCAGCATACTATGAATCAGGACTGCAATGATGCTTGTTTGACAAGTAGATCTCTCAGCTGAATTAGCTTAAAGTAAATTTGATTAGGGACAGTTAAAACACATATCACTATCATTAACTTTATACATAAATACGGTATTAACTCATGAATACACTTGTACAGTATATTGTCAAACAAGCAAACACTTGACACTAACATAAATATTTGTTTATGTTGATAAATTGTCACATCAACTTTTATTAAAACCCTAATTAAATTTTCGCCACTACTGGATCAGCAGCCGAAAACAACACCACTCGTCATCAGTATTTAACAATTAATTATGTTTCATAATGCAATAGTGTACTATGTGAGAAGTCCTTTTCTGCAGCTTGTTCTTCTCTCTGGTCCAACATGGAGGGAATTTTTAATTATGTTGCTTACTAGTCTATCATTTGCACTATTTTAGCAACTGATAGTTAAGTATCTGTTCTCACTCACTTCTTACTAGAATGAACTGCATTTTTACTTATGCATTCACTTTTAGTAGGAAATTCCAAAAATTCAAAGGGTGTTTTACCAATCAGCATAAGTAAAATGATTGACCTTAGATGTGTGCTGTGCGAATGATGATGTGCCAAACTAATGACACCAAATGAGACAAGGATCACTAATTCAAATTGTTTTCGATAATGATACATAGTGTTGGCTAAACTTGTTCTCTTCAAGGTCTTTAAATTTGAGTAAATGCTGAGATCAAACAAAGATTGAACAGTCAGGCCTTACGTGTACCATGCTTTTCAGTTGTTTTTCCTATTTGGCTCATGTCATTAAAACGGTTGAAGGAACAAATGGAGCCCATGACAATGATCATAGAGACAATTAGACCTTTTTTCGTAGTGAATTTGACAAAGACTTCCCAACTATTCATTAAGCTAAATACATAAATTTAAAAATAGCCTCGAGTAAAACCTTAACATGATCCTCTCTCCCTAATTAAGGCTTGCCCTGCATTTTACTAGACAGAGACACTGACCCGAAAGCAAATCCAAGCACAAGGGGCCGAAGGGTAGTTCCCTTGTTTGGATAAGGCAACTCAAACTAAGATGTTTTCCTATAGTGCACTTCCAAGTCCATTTCAATCTGATTACTCGTCTAGAAGGATCCTTGGTGCTTGCAATACTAGCTGTTTGATAACCATACGTGTGGTAGTTCTTCTGTTTTAATTTAATAACATAAATTGTGTGTGTCAAAATATTAAAATCTTTGGGTCTAACGGAGGAACGACCCATGATGATCAAATTAATGTTTCTTTGTGTAGGGGTTTTGGGGCTAAGGACCACTTGTTGATGGGGTCGTGACATTGACATATTACAATATATATTTCATTTGGATTAATACCTAGCCCCTTTGGGTGGTTAGCGCAGTACATACAAGTAGATCCAAGTATTTATAATGATGACAAAGAAAGTGATCTATGTATGGAGTAGAGCAACAATATTGTTTTCTTTGCAAATTAAAAATAAGTTTTTTATGTACTAATGATGTGATTGCTTGATAAAACTTGGCATTGTGGGGGTTCGACAATAATGCAATGTTCCATTCATGCACTCTTCAGTTATATACATTAAATGGGGTATACTTGTTAGGGACTAAAATTTTGTTAGAAACAGTGCATGAGAAAAAGAACAGAATGACATGTCCTGAACCTAATCAGAAAGATTAATTATGATCAAGATGGAGTGTACTAAAAATGTTCCCCTTGCTGATTTTGACATAACCGTCCCATGACAGCCTTTCTACTTTCCTATGTCTGTTTGGTGAACTCGACCATTCGTAGTATCTAATCTGATTAGGTCCCCAACCAATTAATGTGGCATATCCCCCAAATCTCGCAGATTTGAGACACAATTAATGAACAAAAATCAACCATGTATGTTCTTAGTAATGCCATTTTCTGCAATAATTTCAGTCTGATAGATCCAAGATGGTCTGTTTTTGCCAGTTGATGTTTTTCTACACGCAACAGGAACTTAGCACCACCCTACCTAGTAGACACACTATATTGTCTTTTTCCATCTTTAGGGTTATATAGATCAGCAAAATTATTGGTATTTACTAATCATTGAAAATAAACTTTCCAAAGTATTTTAATTATTATGGTATCACCATCCTAAAATAAAAACCATGCACATGCAGTAATGCATCAGCATACTGTTACTAGCCTCAGTGAGTGTGACATCTTGGGAAACAAGCAGTAATTATAACAGGTAAATCTAATTGTTGGATACATTCTCAGCCAGCATTCTATTGAAAATTTTAAATACTCATACTAAAGTTATTAAAGGATATGCTTCTTAAGTGATTTATTTAGAGTTAATGGTGTTCACTAATTATAGAAAAAAAAGTGTGCTTTTAAATTTTCCTTATAACCTTTATTTTGAATATAATAGCCGAAAATTGGACAGCATTACACAGGTCTCACGACTCAGCTTTTGTCTCCGAAAGTTGGCATCCCATGAAAGCAAGAAACCAATACTACAAGTAGGGCAATTGTGTTAAATATCCTCATTTAGTATCCTATTGAAAATAAAAACCCCTTGCACTCATTTCCTGCTTCTTTCCCTATCCCCCTACGATAACAAAAGACATCGTGGTTAAAAAAATAACATCTTCTCTATTCCCTCAATAAAAAAGAAATCACTTTCCTATACCCCAATTGGAAATAAAAGAGACATTTGTTGTTAAAGGTAAAATTCTCTCCCGTTCGTTATTTTTTCTTTATTTTGCTGAAGTGTCATTTTTCTTTTTTTTTTTTTGGGGGGGGGGGGGGGGCACGGAAAGGTCACACAAATGGGACAAATGACTTGTATCCTATACAAGGTGGACTCTTAAGAAATTAGCTTAATTTGCTCCGATTAAGCTGAGAGGATATGTTTCATGGGGCTTCTTGTTCTTTTAGTGAACGTTACAATCTTTAACGGGTAGATGTGGGTTTATATACTCTGATGCTATTCTTCTATAAGAATATAAGATCATGCCCTATAGTCCTTGCCTTCATAGGTGGGGAAAATCGCTGCACATAACGTGGTAATAACATGAGAATCACGGGATACTATCTATCCTTAATGTGTTAGTAATGCTCTCTTTGATAGGACTATTGAGGAGTCTTGTGCTTGTGAATGGTGGGATTCATTGGATTGAGCACATCAAAGGTTTTATCTAGGTACAGATCCCCTATTGAATACTCTATACTATCTGAATTGGAGTTACATGCAATGACTTCAAACCATCAAAATTATTGCCATTTCCAAATAACCTAGGTATATGAGTTTTGAAGTTTTCTAAATAATCTCAATTATTTTGAACATGACACTTTAAAACCATGCAGCGAGACCAAGTCTCAGGTTGGACACGATAAGTGTCACATTCCAAGAAACAAAACATAGTATATAACAAGTGGATATGATTTTGTATATATTGAAAATCTCTAGCAAGAGTTAATAAAAGAATTTCACCCTTAAATGACTTCTAATTAACATCATAGCTGGTTGAGGGAAAATATGTTACTTATAGGATTGTCTTTGCTTTACTTTCGCTCTCTTTTCTATCGGATTGTATCGTTTTCTTTGTCCTGTGCATTTGCAAAAAGGTCTTTGGACTAAATCAAGAATAAATGATATTTTAGAGAAACCACTATCTATTATCTTCTTGCGAACAACGTACATCATTGATAAGAACACAAATGTACTATACGATCAAACATTTGATTGAGATTTATTTGTTGTATATTTATCGGTTTTTAATGGTTTGAAATGCATGTCACTTTCCATATTTTTCAAACAGTATCTTACAACTTAGCATCGTATCAATAATTAAATTAATAACATTATTTCACAGCGTAAGGATAGAGCCAAGACCGTTTCCCTCATAAAATGTCAAAATTATTTTAAAAAAGTTTCATTATCATCAATTTTTAGGGAATATGTTATGCTTCTAAAATTAATAAATTTTTTTGTTAAAAAATCTTTTATCATATTAAAAATATTATACTTCCAAAAAAGTTATAATTTTTTTATGCTTAGAAGTAATTTTAAGAGTTGATGTTAACAATTTTTTTAATATATGTGTTTCACAATTTCGATTCAGTCTTTGTAAGTAAAATATTTTATATTTGTCAAAATTTTCAAAGTAATTCCTAATATTTCGGTCAGTCATGAGGTCATTTTCTTGCTAACATGACTAATAGATGCTGACATGATAAATACACCTTTTTTTGGTAAAATATATATTAGTCCGTATTTGTGCCAAGTAATTTCAGTTGAGTTCCTGTACATTCTTTTTTAAAATTTAGCCCATGAACTTTATCTTTACTCTCTTAATTTTCTTTTGTTCTAGTATGTAACGTTTTAAAACTTAAAATTTTCACAAGAATTTATTCTCAAAAAATAACAATCTAAATTATGTTAAATTGATAGAAGAAATACATGCAAGTTTTAGTTAGATAGCCTTGCTCTAACACTTCAGCCAAGGTTTAAAAGTTTTTTTTTGGTCCACAAGGTTTAAGAGTTTTTGAGTGTCATGAAGATAGAAGAGGAGGTTTCAGAGTGGAGATGCGAAAATCTTATCCAGAAAGGCCAAAAAAATAAAAAATAAAACAAAGACTTGGTAGACCCAAAAAGTTAAGGAAGAGAGAATCATTTAATCAAAATAAATAAATCCAAATACGTTAAATAGGTAACACACTTTAATAGAAGTGGAGATACTATCTATATAAGCACTGTACTAGAATTTGCATACTTTTGACATCTTTGTCATCTAATTAGTGAAGATGCACCACAAAATAAGTGATCCACAATCATAGAATGCTAGTGAAAGATAAAAATGTCACTATTTCTATTACTCACTTACGTATTTTTGTTTTGATAATATATGGATCAGCTTCTATCATTGGTGGACCTGAAAATTTAGCTGCTAATAATGCTTATTCTTTATTGAAATATAAATTGAAGGTTTAGTCTATGATTTATGAGTATCAACTCTCGGATGGGATAATAACATGTATCATATATACTTTTTAGTTTAAAAATTAGGTTGAAGTGTTTTGAAAAATTTGGGTCCAAGTTTAAATTTATGATATAGAGTCCAAATTAAAATTGGGTGACACATGCAGGAACCAAAATATATTTTGACAAAAAATTTGTAACTGCCATGTTAGTTGGTCGTTAGCGATGTCAATAAAAAAGATAATAGTGTTATAACAAAGTTATAATAGAGTTAAACATCAAAGACTATTTTAACCATAAAAAATAAAGATTTATGCAAAGATATGATAAAAATCTTATACTACCCAAAGCCTATCGAAATAGGAATGACAGTGACAGCTGTAGAAGCTTGAGTCTTTATCCTATTCCCGTCTCATTCACATAAAAATCTCAACGCCATATCCATCCCATATACTTTATCCTTTTATGAGAGAAAAAAGAAGGTAACTAAAAAAATACTAATAAAAAAACAAAAAAGAAAAGGTTGGATTACAATGTGGAAATAGAAAGTTGAAATAACAACGTGACCTCAAAATTCAAATAGCAATTGACAACATAACAAACGGGACAAATTGGTTCGTGGTTTGTAACTGTTTATCGACTTATATTTGGGCCAAACAAAGTGGGACAAACAAGATTTTGCGTTTGGTTATTGCCCTCTAGCTCACAAAGGAACATGGGTCCAATGATGTCTATACCTAAATGACACATTTTGTCATGGGTCATTCAGTGGGGGACCGAATCTTATACTTTATACTCTTTCATCTATCTATACCTCTGTTGTCAATTTTCAAAGAACTATATTGGGTCTACCAGAGAATCAGCGTGATTATCAGAAGTGAAATTTTATTTCTCTCAAAAACGTAAAATATATTATTTTTTCCATTGTTTTTAAAATAGAAAGTTTCGTTTAACTAGGAAGTTTTGAGACTACTAAATTCTTCTCTTTCACTTAAGCTTTGCTTCCAACCGTCACATTTGGTGTCAGAAATTCATCGTAGGAACTTAGAAACTGTGAGTCCAAATTGTATTGCTGCTGGTTGTATTTGTTTTAATAAAAATTACTTATACAATGAAATAAATAAAGAACCTTACTAATTAAGAAATCGATAGATAATTTTTTTTTACTAAAAACCATTAAGAATACAGTAAAAATTACAGAGTACATCAATAAAAAAATATTTTTAGTTGCTTAACCAAGACACGAGGCACTATTTAGCATTTTTCTTAAATAATTAACAGCTACAACAACATACCTTAGTGAAGGGTAGCTAAAGTTTTATAAGGGCACATTGACAATTGTTAAATATCTAAACCCAACAAGCCCTCAATATGATAGTTGAACAGAAACAATAGCCCAAGAACAATAATTTTGTACACTGGCTTAGGCCCTCAACTTATCAAGCAAACAAAGATGTTTCTAGGTGTTATGAACTTTGTTTACCTGTATGTTAAACGATTCAAATTTTTTCTACAAAGAAAAAAAAATTATTTAGCTATGGCTACAGAATTAAACATGAAATACAACAGATAATAGCATAATTTGAACTCCAGTGCCTAGGTATAATAAATATATTTCAAAAGATTATTCAACATATATTAAATCAAGTCTAAATTAACAGCTAGCATAACTAGGAAAGAGGCCATAGCACATAAAGAAGACAAATCTCTGCATGGTAGAGATTGAGCAATACAATAAAACGATACCCCAAAAGGAAATGAAAAGAAACAACACTGCTTTCAGTCTGTCGCCACTGTGATACTATAGATGTACTTAAGCGATGGCCATAGCTCAAATTCAGTTTTCACCGTTTGTTGGACTTGTTTTCTTGGCATAGAACTGAATAACAAATGCGGCAGCCAACAAGAGCAATGGCACAAGGTACTGCAACATCTTCACAATAAATCCAGAAGATTGATTGTTATAGGCTGGTGCTGGTGCTAGTGTTGGTGGTGGTGGATTGTTGTTAACTTTTGCAGGAAGAGTGTTGGTGTCAACCTCACCAACAAAGTATGTTTGCATCATCTCAATTGCTGAATCACTGTGGCCAACATCTTCAAAATCAGTGGTGGCATCCTTCTCTGTATAAACACCAGAAGATTCTTAGTTATGTCTATTGTGTTCTATGCTTCTCTTTGGATTAGTTTTCTTTCTTTCTTCTCACTGGCTAGGTGGGAGGAAAAAGTTTTTGGAATTGCAAATGAATGACATGAACTAAGGAAGATAAAGTAATTACCTGTAGCAGTCAGTAAAGCTTCATCACCTCCTGGATGATCATCCAAAAATGCGGTGACATCATATACCTGCTAAGATGGAAGGCAAGTTATCTAAACTATTTTGATGTATATTTATCCTACAAGTTATACGAGTACAAATATCAAGGATCGTCCTTAAAATCATTTTATAAAAGATTATAGAAAGGAAGAAAGAAGGATAAGAAATTAGAGCCATGGGAATTTTGAGCAAGTATTTGGACATCTAGAAACAAAGGTACAGATTTAATATCTTATTCTATCTAGCCCATTCTGACAGTACATGCAACAAGAAACATTAAAAACATTAAAGGCAGAAAACAGTTACTCCATTCAATTGTCAGACAGTGCATGCAACAAGAAATATTTAAAACAGCAGCATAACCATTTGATTGGCCAATTTACTGTCAGTCTCAGATATATCTTTCTCCAACATTGTTTATGGTAGCATCTACAACTTTATAAGTTCAATAGCATTACCAGCCCTTAAAGTTTCCCAAACTAACCACTGAGGAGTTCATAATTGTCTCCAGGACTGAAGACAGTCTGGATAGAACATTCAAACAATGACTCGGCCGCCAATCACATAAATGCTCTACATTTATGATGCTATGGATGAGGAAAATTTGTCTTTGCATATAAATAGGAAGAGAAGAATCAATATCAACCTGAATAGTTAGAGATAGAAAGAGAAAGGTGTTGGAGTAGCGGCTGGGGTATTTTGAGAAGATTGGGATCCTGAGTGTTTGAAGAGGGTAAACTGGTGATGGATAAGAAGGAAGTACTCCAATGGCCAATAATACTTCTTGGAATGTTGGACTATCGGATACCATATAAAGTTTTGAGACTAGACAAAAGGTGATCATTCACTACCACTTCCTTAAGGCAGTCATCAGAATACAATAAGATAATGAAGAACCAAATTGATCATGTAACAACATATAACAGAATCATATTTTTCAAGTATTTCATTATCCTCTATCACAGAAGAGTATGGGTTAGAATCTGATGAATATGAAGATTGTTCAGGCTTCAGTGAAGGGAGCTTGTTGCTGAACTAATAATGGACTCACTTTGAACAGAGTTTTAATCAGGGATACTGCGGATTCTGCTACTTTAGAGGGTGTCAGGGGAGGTTCTTATACAAGAATATGTGGACAGTAAGGATATTAACTTAGGTCATCATGACACTGGACAGGACATGCTTGTAATGCTGAGTTTACAGATGGATTCTACCGGATTAAGATGGTCTATTTGAGACCAAGGCTCTTGGAAGATGGGGAGCTGCTCCACATCATGAAATATGGAGAATAGAAAGATGGGAAGCTCCAAACACCATGCTCATGAAGCTTTGAAGCTGGAAGATTAGAGGTCTAGGAAAGCTGGAAAATTTTTGCTTAGCTTCAATTGGTGGAAATGTAGTTTGAAGAAAATTTTCTCTTCCATTGTTTTCCCTTTTTGTGTGTGTCCTTTTCTCTTAAATAATGTATCTTCTTGCAATAAAAACAAGTATACAGGGTAATAAATATCTGGTGGCCAATACTATAGACAAACACTTGCCCTATCAACAAATATAGGGTTAATTTTCAAGTGAAAAAATGAAGTTAAAATAACCCTATATTTGTTAAGAAATAACATGTTTAGCTTACTAAGCTTGTCAATTGCAATTCAAATGTGAATGGTTGAGGCTAATTATGAATTGTGAATCATAATATGTATTGAACAGTAAGATTCAGAATCATGATAAAAATAACTTCAAATATGTAATATAAATAATTTATTGAATGCATAGTGCTCAATAGAGGAATAAAAAACAAAATCACAACTCAGTATATTGAAATGGAAAAGCATAAGTCAATGCTCAATATTTAAGTTTGAAGATTGACTCTTTTTAAACAGTTTAAATAAAAGACAATATGATAAATTCAGCATATCAAAACAGAAGATGAAACCACCAAGGCATCCATTCACCCACTGACTATTATTAATATATGTTAACTTCAAAACATAGAATAACAAATAGTACAATTTCTATAACTAAGGCAATGAGCACTTAAAAAGGAAAAAATATATCATGTAAATTTCATTTATTTAAACAGGAGAATCCTATTCCTCAATAAATAATTTCTCAGCATTGGTAAAAGGCTGTCACATTTTCCTCTATTGCAGGCAATCCCATATACCCCAACCATTACATAAGTATCGTTGCAAATATCACAATTTGGAATTAAATTAATTAAAGAACTTTGGATTTCTGTTTATACAAAATTTCAAAACTTTTTATAACTTATTATAAAGGGGTTGAATTAATGGTTTTTATTCAAAATTGCAAACCCCTTCCCACCCATAACTTAAGGCCTAAAGCCAAATCAGCCTCCTTCCAAACCATGCAAGGGGAGAATTTGGATCCACCCAGGTTCATGCATCACTCTAAGTCAAATCAAGTAAGAGAAAGTCTTACACATGCTTCATATGCAAATCAACCAAGGATTACTCAGACATCAGATTCATCATAAAAATTGAAACAATATCAACTAAGGAAAACAGATCAAGAAGCAGATGATAATAGAAACTCAATTCAGACCACAAAACTAACCTTCCCATTGACTATAATCCAGCAATCATTCTTGTTGTTGTGCTTCGCCACCTCCTCAAAGGTAAAAGTTTTGACATTTGAACCCATAGCGGCTTCTTCCTCTGCCCACAGAAAACCAAGCACACCGCACTTCCATATTACTCATCAAACACAACAAACAACAGGGAAAAATGTTTAATACTAGAAACCCCAAAAGAAAATAAAGATTATTGAGGCTAAAAATGAAAGAAAGAAAAGCATAACATTGAAGGGAAAAGTTAAAGAAGAAAATCTCTTACAAGGTGATGACAGAAAGGAAATGAACTTTCAGACAATACTTTTACTAGTGATCTTTCACTCTTACAACAACCTCAAAGTCGCAAACTATTTATAGCTGTACCTTGAGCCTTTTTGGGGCAAATTCACACAATTAATTTATCATTTAATACACTTTAATAAACTTTATTTTGATGTAATAGTTATGAATTTTTTATTGGTTAATATTAATGGTTATAATTTTTTTAAAATTTCATAAAATAATTTAATTTCTGTAATTATTTAGTTTTTTAAGTAACATTATTTTATATAAACAATATATTGTTCTATGCAGTGATATAAGTAATTTATCAAACAAAGTAATTTTTGCACAGATTATGCACTATTTTTAATATAAAATTTGTTGTTAAAATTACATATAATTAAATTTAATTTTAAAAAAAATTATTTAAAAAAATTAATTATTTTTAAAACTAAATTAAAAATATAATAATTTAAACATATTACACGAGAGTCATCTGTTGTAACGATTCCATTATTAATATAAAATATTAAATTATACGTTTTTATCTTTCCTATTCTGCCCACCGAAAATGCCATAAAAGCAGTATTTAAAGTTGTTAAGTGAAGTATACTTAACCAAAGTATTATTTTATGTTATTTTATTTTTAATTAATTATTTATTAAAAAATAAGATAATGTAATTATTATTTGTATGTAAAATATTTAAATTATTTGAATAATTTAAAATTAAAAAATATTGATAAAAATAATTAATTCTAACAAAATATATATATTTTAAAAAAACTCACATTAAATTGTTCCCTTTTCTGACAAAAAAAATTGTGAATAATTAAATTTAATATCCATTTTGTTTGATGATAAATGGTCCCATATTTAATTTTATTAAAAGTTTCAAATTTTTTACTATTTATATTTTAATTATTAATTAAATGGTCCCATATGAAAATTGAATCTGACAAACTTTTAATTATTTATGTTCTTATTATTTTTTTCATGAAAAACTAAACTTACCTCCGACTTTTATTAAACTGTGTGCAGTGTTAGTTACAGATTCTCTGAAGTTTTACATTCAGAAGAACGTGAAATGAAACCATAATTCAAAAGTTTCACAGTGCGTGTTATTTCTAACAGAATTGCAGCTTTAATTTGAAATCCGTTGATTCTTAATGATTGCTTAGTGTTATGAAAAAAGAAACGTGATCTCTCCCACAAATGAAGGAAAAATGATAAGATCAATCACTCCATCCAATGAATGGCTAACTATGTGTTGTGAAAATAATGTGATTCAATGAACCGTTTCATGCAGACGAATTGCCGGATACGTGTTATAAAGGAAAAAAATGTGATCTCATCAATGTCTTGTACAAATGAATTGTTAACTAATTTTATGAAAAAAGGACTAATCATGTGAATGTGTCACACGCAAATGAATTGCTATTAACAATTTTTAAATATTGGTATTGTTTTGTAGTATCATCAAATCAAAATAAAAATATATTTTATAATTTATTTTTCAATTTAATAATTTTTTAAAAGTAAACATTCTATTATATTCAATAAAACTAAAAAAATTAAATATATATAATGTAAAAAAATTATTTAGAATGATAAAAAAAAGTTAATTTTTCAAAATTCTCATTTAATAATACTTATAAAGCACTCTCGTTTAACAATTGGTATTTTAAATTTATAAATTTTTATTGATAATTAATTTATTAAAATTTGATATCAAACATTTTATTTTAAAATATTATTAGAAATATTTTTAGTGTCTATTTATTATATTCAAATTATTTTATTAAATTTTCATGTGATACTTTTTAAAATAATTTTTTATTTTTAATTTAATTATTTTATTGATTTTAAATTTTTTTTATTTTAATTTAATTATTTTATTGAGTTTAAAATTATTTTAATTATTAAATAGTTTTTAACTTTTATGTTTTCAATTTTTAAAATTTAAGTTTTTTTTATTTTTATATGAAAAAACTAATAAATTGTCATTTAGTTTTTTTTTTTAAATTGTTATAAAAGTCTTGTTTGATTATATATTTTAATCTTAAATAAGTAAATAAAATATATAATTATGTAATACTACTTAAATAATATTTATCACTCATTTTTAAATTCTATTATCTTTTAAACTTCTGCATATAATATTTGAAAATTTATTTTACTTGTGTCATGTTATAAAAAGTTTAAGTTAGCAGAAGTAATAAAATAAAAAAAAATGAACAAATAGAGTATTTAGAAAAAAAATATTCTAAATTTAGTAAAAGAGTTTTTATAATACATATAAATATAAATAAGTTGTAACTAAAAAAATTTTATTTTAAAATTATAATTTATACTATGCATTGCAAGAGTATTAATTATAATTTTAAAATTATAATACATAACCATAGTCATTCTTACTATATTTAAATGAAACAAAAATTTGAATAATAATTTTATTTTTTTTTGCTATTAATGGAGCTAAAAATCCAACAGAGAAACAAAGTTAGCTAAAAGGTTTTGAAATAATTAATGCCAATAGCTTCCAAACTTAATAATGATAAAAGGGAAAAGAGAGTTTAATCTAAAAATTTACAAACCATCAACTCCTCATGGTTGCTAAATTAGTAGTACATTTGTAAAAATGTAGACAAATTTCATATTTTAAATAATTTTTAATTCGAAATAAATAGATTGAATCAAAGAAGAGATGAAAAAAATTTTAAATATTTAAAATATAATGAATAAATTTTTTAGAATTCACCTCAAGCCAAATACAATATAAACCTCATCTCAAGACAAACTATATACCCAGACAAATTATCCAAAATTTTAAAATAAAAAAGATGCAAGAGGCTAATTTGATTCTAAAATTATGTACCAAAATTTTGGTTAAAATATTTCATCAGCGCTCCATAAGTTCTAGATTGATTATTATTTAATTTATTACATCTTATGTGTTATTTCTAATTTATTAAATTTTTTACTGAATAAATGTATTTGTATAGGTAGACATAGATAAACATATTTATGAATACAACTTTAAGTTAACTAAATATTACTTGTAAAAAAATATATTAACTTTTTATTAAAAATGTGAATAGCTTATTTGTGCCGAATGTGCATAGATTTAATCATAATCAGATTAAATTTAAAAATCATTTTTTATATTTAATTTTAACACTTAATCCCTTATTTTTTTTTTATGTCATTGTTTTACAGATATTTTAGAGTTAGCTGAGAGTCATTTTTATCAACTTTACATGAATATAAAGATGTTATAATTCATTAAGGTTTTTAAAGAAGTACCATACCGGCCATTAATCAATGGAAAGTGAAAGTACTTGTTTTGGATACAGTATTTTGTTTTCCAACATGTATAGTATCTAAGTTAGATCAATTATAAAAGCCCACTTTTCAAACACAGAAATGTCATGAACAGATATTGGGAGCCCAAAGAATTTTTTGGGCCTTGACCAAACAGCTTTGGAAAAGACCAAAGTGTCAAGTTCAGTATTAAAAAAAAGTACAAAATCTATTTCAAACTTACTATGGTGGAATTATTTTAAAAGCGAATAAGAAAGAATCTCAACTAATATTTGATAGAGATGTTAATTTAACAAATATTTTTAAGCTAAAATTTTTCAGTAATTTTTTTTAAAAATAATTAATAACAAATGTAATTTAAAATTGCGTGATCTCAACATTTTGAAAAACTTTGAGAAAAATTTAGAGTATTTAATTAAATTTCTTTAATCAATTTCTCGAGTTTTTGAGGGGAGAGTATTAGAATAATTATATTTAATATATAGTTTCTCTACAAATTTACACTTATGATAAAAATTCATTTTAATATATCTTAATTATATTTAATAAGTTAAAATTAATTTAATTTAACTTCAAAATAAATATATACTTATAATTTGTTTGTTTTAACTTTCATGACCTGCCTAAGAAATATAATTTCATTTTTTTAGGCAATTTTACAGGAAATAGAATTTTTTTTATGTGCATGCAACGGAAGTTCTAACCATAATACAACACATCAGCAATGGTTAAATTTTTATATCTTTATTATAATTGTGCAAATTTGGTATTTTATTGGGACACCTTTCAAAATTTTTATAAAGATAGCTCACAACATTATATGGTGGATCTATTGCTATTATAAAAATGGTCTCAGTCTTTTTTTCATACTATCAATTAAAAAAAGCTAATTTATAATTTTTAAAATACACAAAATTTCAATTTGAAATAAAAATATAAGAACTAAAAGAAATTAATCACGCATTAGGGGAAAAACCAGTATTAGTTAAACTCTAAACACATGTACAATTATTCTTAATTTCATTCAATTTTTTAACTACTAATTTCCTTATGTTAATAACTAAAAAATATTAAAAGTATAAAAAGTACAATATTTACTGTTATTAATATATTTTGATTATAATTTTATTTTTTATTCATTTTTTAATTATTATTTTTAGGATAATAGTTAGAAAATTGATGGTCGAGATCTTGGCGGGAGTGACTCAAGTTATGCTTTCAAAGGTGTCATATTCTCCCCCTCATTGTTTGCTGGATTCTCTGGAATATTCGAAATGAGAAGCTATTCAATGGATATGAATATTCCGTGTGGGAGGCCTTGCTCCAGATACGTACTCTGCATGCTGCCATGTTGAGTGGGTTTGCTGATACTGGCACTGCTGCGCCTCAGGTCGGCAAGCTTATGTGGATCTCTTGTATTTTTGCAGAAGGTTTATAGATCAGCCTTCATGTTGATGCTAGCTCAAGGGGGGAATCGGGTCTTGCTGGGATTAGAGGCCTTGCGCATGACTCGAATGGTAAATTCTATGGAGATTGAGCTTCTTTTCGTCCTATATGGACTATGTCTTGCCTGGAGGAGGTGCATTCAATCTCTGTTATGCATTTCTGATTCAGCCATGGCTATAGAGTTTATGAAGTAGGAAACTTGAAGTAATCATCGACATGCAACGATTCTTTATTCAATTAAAAAGTTGGTACACAAACCTTGGACACTGCAGTTTATACATTGCTTTCAAGAGGGAAATCAGTGTGCAGATCTTTTGGCTAAAATGGGTCGAACCCGAAGTTTGGAGGTTGAAGAACTTGTTTCTCCTCTGCTAGAGATGGAGTCACAATTGTTAACTGATGTGGTTGGTATTCTGATCCTTCAGATGTAATTTTTTTTCTTGTCTTTTTATTGGTCCATTACCCAAAAATAAAAATAAAAATTGATTTTCACATCTTTTTATTTTCCTATTTTGGAAAGTAGAATATAAAATATAAGTAATATCCCTATTTAAATTGAATTTGTTTTTAAACTCCTAATATGACCCCCCTTTTTTTTTGTCATTATTATTATTCTTATTTATGATATAGTAATTAATATTATTTTAAAGTTTTAAGAAAACAGATAAATAAGATTTATTTTTTCTAAAGATGGGCAAATAAGATTCTCATCGTATTCCATTAATTTCCGATAATTAAGACAAACACTAAGTACCAATTTGTGGGGGAGTTCTTGTTATTTGGTGCATTGTATCATATTATTTTGTTGCGAACTCGTAGCACCAAGAAAAAGATGATACGATTTGCATGCCTTTATTTGTTTGTCATTTTATGGTGAAGATTTTCTTTCTTTGCACCGTAAAATGCTCAGCTAGCATGCATTAATTAAGCCCAATTATTATCCAAAACTATGCATAAAAGGTGTCCCAAAATATAAACCCCAACCACAGCCACACAGATACTGGAGACATCGATTCCTTAAGTCAAACTAAAGCCAACAGAAACAAAGAGATACCACAAATTACAGAATCACATAGTTCAATGCATTCATCATAAAAAAAACACGAAGAAAAACCTAAGTATTTAATCTTACAAATTTATATATCATAAACAAATCTACGTTTCCAGATAAACAACGATACTCCCATAGAGCTCAACACTAGCTAGTGCCTGCAACAAGCCAAAAACTACTTCAATCCAGTTAAACTCAATAATTTCATTGTTATAATGGATAAAGTAGATAGATAAATATTTTTTTTTTGCAACTATTCATTTTCATTTTTCCTATGCTCAGGTGTGCACTCTCTCCCTTTTCATCTTTAGACCTTAATGCTATTCAGGTTGATGAAGGATATGGGAAGAAATGTGCTTATATTCCATTACTCCGTGTCAAAAGCTACCTAAGAAAATGAAAAAAAATAATAAAAAATAAGGGGACACATATTCACATACTATTAATTTCTCACATTTTAGAATTCTTTTTTTTTTGGTTTAAATTCCCACCACATAATTAAAGGTAGTTGGTATCAGTTTGACATTACAGCATCAAATCTGAAAATGAAAACTATGGTTATATTGACCTATATACTGACTAAAAAGCTTGCCAAATATGTCGATTAATAATAATAATAATAGGCAAGCAAACTTCTAGACATATTTTTTATTGATTAAATATTACTTATTTTTATCTAAGTTTAACTTTTATTTAGAAAAATATATATTCAAACGTTTAATTAAATTAATATATTTTATATGTGAAATAATTTATAATTAGTATTGTATAAAAAATTGAAAAAAAATGAACTCAATTTTTATAATATTTTAGCAAGTCCAAACATACAATTAATCATAACCCTGTCGCACAAATCTCTTGTTTAGTTCTAAATACATTTTCAGTTATATGATTCTATTTTTAATTTTATAAAAAATGAATTTGAGTGTGTGAAATTATAGTGTATGTCCCTGCTATAGTCGGACGTATAAATTTGCAGATATAAATGCTGCTCTTAAACTCATTTTTTCATTAATTCAATTGATTTCATTTAACATATAATTTTTTTTAAGTGGATTAGTTGAAAAAAGGTTTAGCAATGTAGACTTTGTTAATTAGTATAAAAAATAATCAAAGGTCTATAGCTATTGTTTTAACAAAAGTAGGATATCTTAATTAAGAATATAAAATACCAAGGAATTCACCCCCCCCCCCTCCCCCTTTTTTTTAAATCGAAGTATCATGAGTTACTTTTGTCCCCACATAATAGCTATAATAAAGAGTCCAGATACAAAACACGATAATCATCATGACAATTGACAAGATGAAGACCATGCTTATGTCTCTTTGTTTACTTTTATATATTTCAATCAAATCATACAATATATATATATATAGCCTCTGTAGTTAACTTGTATATAACTAAATCGCAATTACTCTAAGCTACAAATTTATTTCTTCTAATAGGTTTCTTTTAAATCCCGGCCGTTTGTAACATTGGAAACTAATAAAAATTATTTAACAAAGTCATGCACACATGCAAATACAGTTTTCGAAATTGTCAAAATATCTCTTAATAATCTATTGTTATATGCACTGATTTAAAAATATTTCAATATAACTAGAATATTTTAATATATAAATTCATGAAGGGCTCTTGTGTGCCCACTTTCCCCTTAGATTGGCAGGCAAAAGGTCACAACAAGAGGTATCCATACGTGATTGTCACTTTCAAAGATTGATTTGAATATGTTATTTTGACCTCCTTGCTTGGATTTTTCAGGGTTATTTTGTGGAGGGACCCATAGATTATAAATAATTGGTCGATTACTATCATATGGAAAACGACATTCAGGGAAGAGGTTTTTCAACCCTGTATCTATGTTGCTTGAAAATGCATGCACACCTCCCTGGTATATATGGTACGCAGCTGTAAATAATATACTAAGCTGTAACTTGTGAAATCGAGAGAAGATCGATCTTGTGATTGACGAAAAAAAAAATGTTCGTTACATGGTTTCTTAAGTCTTAAAACCTATACAATTCCCAAGCAAATATTTTAATGAGAAAACCGCAGAAGTTAATGCAATAGCTCTCTCCCTCTCTCTTATCTACTCATGATAAAGATTATGATGTACACATACGATAATAATAGTCTATGCAGAACGTTTTGATTTTACTACAATTTCGTAATGCTTTTTTACAGCAATTTTTTATAATATATTTTATAATTTTTTATGTCATTAGATCACTTATATATATAAGTGATCTAATGACAAAAAATTAGGCCCCTTAAATTGTGTTCCAAACTACAAAAAGAAACATTGGGGGTAAGGTTTGACAAGATTGATAAGATCAAAACACTGTATATCCACATTCTTATCATGACACAACCAAACATATCTGTTTGTATGGTGTTGAGAAAACAAATAATAAAAACCATATTAAAGATACTATTTTAATAGATAGAAACACTAAAACCAACCACAATCCATTGCTTGCCGTAAACCTTTCATAACAATCAAATGAAAACATTGTAGGAAAAAGGGACTTTGGAGCTGCCATACCTTAAATTGGAAGAAAATAACTTGAGTTGTTGCCTTCATTCATGTGATTATTATCAATGATTAACCCAGCTGTATTGACTTCCTGACCTTCGGGTTTGTGATTCTTAACATCAAGATCTGGGTGGATTTTCCTCTTTAACATCTTCTTCATCAGCTACACAACATTACACATTAGTTAATCAACCTAATTCAAGCAAATCCGTAATCAGTGGCTTATTTGACTCAGAATGAACATTCCAACACTATATATATATAGAAACAACAATAATTTTGATTTAGTCGAGCTAATTGTTCAAAATCGTTAGGGTGTTTTAATTCTGTAGTCTTTAGCAAGAATAAGACGAACATTATAAAAATATTATTATTATAAAAAAAATAGCGTTAGAATTATTTTTGTCGAAGTAATAGATGTCTAATGAAAATTTAATTAATATAAACATTATAGGTTTACCTTAACAATATAATTTATTAGACTAACATTTAATGTACTGATAATATATTATATATAATCATTTTTTTTTCAAAATCTTTCTGTTAGTACAATGTACCAGTTAGTGAAGATCTGCAATGTTTATATCAATAATTATTATTTTTATTGAAGAATGATTGTATCAGCGGAAGTTAATTCATCAACAATAAAGTGTTAGTGTATGATTTTTTGTATTTTTATGTAATAACAACTTACTTTTTTGATATCTTTCATTGGACGGGGATTGTCCTTAACACGAGGAATGAGCTTCTTGGCAAAAGACAGTCCATGCTTTGCTTTAAGGTTTGGTTTTTCACTTGAAGAAAGGTGACAGACTTTGGCAGGGTCCAATTTTATCTTCACATCGGAATCAGCCAAGAAGAGGTCAGCTAATGTGATCCTTTCTCCTTTCTTCTTCTTTTGATCAGTCTCAACATCATTTGATTCTATGACATCAAGAGAAATGACAGGTGGAGTAGCCAGAACAATCTCATTGAAGCTCCTAACCACTTCCTCTTTGCTAGCGTCAGCATCATCATCACCATGGTTTTGATGATCAATGACAACATCCTCAAAGTTGTGCTCAAATGTGTTGTATATCAATGGATTCAGTTCCTCATGCTCAGCATTATAGTAATTTTCCTGCTCATCATCAACCATGATATGCTCTCCTTCAGCTTCTTGTTCATCTTCAGTTTCCAAAGCAAAGTACTCTGTGTGATGGTTGATGGATTTCAAGGGATCATAACCAAGAGTTCCAATGGTTAGAATGCCATCTTTCCAAGCACCAAGCAAATGATCAGCGAGGGCAACTTGTTTCAGCAAAGCTTCACTATCCGCGTTATTAATTGTAGGTTCAGTCTTTTTCATGTTTGGAGCAAACCCATCTGAGTAGAGAGCAAAAGATTCATTTAAAGAAAACATAGCACTCTCGAAAGAAAGAAAAATAATTAACAGTTATGTATATGTAATATATCATGAAGAATGAGAATTTGTTTAATTATAGCCATCATCATATTTAGAGGTCAATATTTAAATTGCAAAATGCGAGACTAGTTGAAGTTATAGAGGTCAAACCTTTCAGAGCGTTATGATGAAACCTCTTGTGCACCCAATTGAAGATCTGAGACAAACAATTCACGAAGATGATATGAATATCTATAAGAATACTATATATGGCATTAAAAATAAAGGACTAAAAAGAAAAGTAGTAAAATAAATTGAGTATTTTCATGCATGAGAAACAAAATAGTTGGTTGTATGCATGGTTTCAATTCAATCACCTTCATTGTTTTTCTCGATCAGAAAAGCTGGCCAGAGAATGGGGCTATGCAAGGTATTGAAATGGAGAGTGAGGGAGTGGGGGGTCAACAAAATAAGGAACAGGAATAAAACCCGCAGAGGGGACCAACATTGGTGGTTGAATTAGGCTATGCCACGTGGTCATTGGTCCCATGTAGTTCAACCATGTTCATGTGTCCTTAGCATAATATGCTTGACAAGTCATCATGTTAGTCCTCTCATCAGTACTTGTTTACCTTCACATTGCACATGCTAGCTGATGGGAAATTTTCATTTACACAACTGTTCAACCGCTGTGTTTGTTTGTTTTAGATTTTAATATAACTAGTTAGTTTTTTTATCAAGTATTATTAAATTAAAATGAATTTTTAAATAAAATTTTATTATATAATTATTTTTAAATTTTATTCTTTAATAATAATTTTTTTTATATTAAACATGACTAAATTGAAGAGATAGAGTTTTAAAATTAAGAAATAAATTATGAAAAGAAGTAAATACTCAAAGGAATTAAAATTACATAAAATAAGTTTTTACTTAAAAATAGAAACTAACATTTAATATAAGATTAAATTAATTTTTATATTAAAACACATGTCACAGTGCATTAAATTGATACGGGCCCTTCCCTTGATTATGAGCTTCTTTTTATTTGTTGCCAAAGTTTAACCCAAAGTGGCCATTAACAAGCAGTTGGAATGTATCTGAGACCCACTTGGCATTGGTCGAGCTCCTTCCTTAATTAATTGTTTACGAAATGAAATAATCAGTTGAGAACCACTTACGGATCATTAGTGAGTAATTTGCGAGGTGTCATGTTCATATATATCAACCATGGTGTTGGCTATTTAAATACTTTTGGCGTATTCATGCACTGTAGATAAAATTCAGGCATATCAAACTCAGTTTAGCATGGTCACATACCTCGTACGTAGTTGATAAAAATGCAATGCACATTAGGTATGTCTCATGTTTCAACAAAGAGTGATGGAATAACTTTACTACTTGGAGGTTTGAACTTGATTAATCTAAGGCAGCTTTGGTTGACCAATTAATTTCTTTGACCTTATAACATTTTTCATATAAAACAGATCTAAATGATTCATGTTCACTAAATCCATACCTAAAGAGCTCAAGATTACATCGATAAGTGAGCGGCGAAATACACACGAAAAAAAACAATCACGTACTAACGGTATGACATGTATAGTTTAATAATGTTAGAAACTGCGAAACAGTATAAAATCAGTTTTTTTATTTAAAGTTACATAGTAAGCCTCTATAATTTTATTAAATTTTTAATTAGGTTCTTATAATTAAATCATTATATTTCTTAAAATTAAAATTTTAAATGTCAACACTGTTAAATTTTCATTAAATATTTATCATAAATTTTTTTTTATATTTTCATAATCGATTCTCCCTCTGACTTCGAAAATTATCCGTACTGTCTAACTTCTACAGGAAGTTATGCACAAACTTTTATTCTTTTGGCTAGTTTAAAAATTTATCCTTTTAGGTACTTGTTTGGATGCACATTAAAAGTTTTCACTCGAGTTTAGAATATAAATGTGATTTAAAATCTGTGTGAACATGTTTCACAGTTGATACATTATTATTCCGATATTATATTTAAAGAATGTCGGGTTATTTTATCATTTGATTTTTTATTTTACTTTTAAAATTAAATTTTTCTTAATTTAATTGTAGGAAATAGTTAAGAATGAATTCAAGACGCTCCATGCTGGAATTACCATGTGACTTTTGAAAGCATGCAAGAGTGTACTGATTTTTGTTAAGAGCATGTTGAATTATGGGACACATTTAATCTATAATCCTCTATGTATTTTAAAATCCTAAATCTTTTATCTTAAATTCCTTTTCTTTTCTGTCGCATAGTTACTTTTACTTTTATCTTTATTACTATATGTAATTAAATACCTTTTATTATGGGTGAGAGTAGATTTTTATGACGTAATTTATTTTTAAACTTTAATTTAATTTTATGATATTGATGTAATTTGTCAATTATAATTATATCTTTGATATTATTATTATTTTATAAATTGGTCACTTAAAAATAATTTTAGTTAATTAATTCATAAATAAATTTACTGTTAATAGGTTAATTGAATGGAAAGATAATTTGAATTTAATAGTTAAAAAAGATTAATTTATTGCCTAAATTTTTACTTAGTTAATTAAGTTTGATAAATATAATATTTTTAATATTTTATTTATATTATTATTAAGATAATATAAATAAAAAAATTATTATTATTCTATGATCATTAGATAGTAGCAAAAATTATTAGATTATCGATAATTATTTTAATATAATTAAATATAGTTAAATTTGAAAATATATAAATAATCATAAAAATAAATTAAAGTCTTAAATTTTTATTTATCTTAAATTAATTTGTGATTTTTTATTATTTTATTTTTAACTTAATTTGATTATTTTTAATCTAAATATTCTTAATATTTAAATTTACTTAACACTCGAGAAACAATAATAATAAATACTTACAATAGAGTTTTATAGAAATAATATTAAAAAATCTTTAAATATTTTATTTTATTACAATTGACGAGTACATGAAAGTATTCAAACCAGTAACAATAAATAATAAATATGTAATATAATTGGTTTTGTCTCTAAACTTGTGTTTGAATTAATATGATAAATTATAGCTTTTTTATTGAGTTGAAAAATTTATATTAAATTTTACTATAAATTTACATTTAAGTAAAAAAAATTTACAAGATAAAAAAAACATTTACAAACATAAATCACATTATTTTAAATTTATTTTTAAATAAAAACAATTATATAAAATTAAATTCGTTCATACAAATTTGGGAATGCTCATCCAAACACACATTGCATCTTGCTTTTAATTGGTGCAATAAATTATAAACTAAATTTTATAGATATATTAATATATAATATATTTAATATTTCATATTATTAATAATTTATATTGTAATATTAATAAAATCAAATAATATTTTATTTATGTTAAGTATATATTTTATTAAAATATTAAAATTTACTTTAAAATATTAATTTTTCATTTTAAGCCTAAAAATTCACTTCATGTTGATTTAATTATTAAAAGAAATATACAATATTTAATAACAAGAAAAAATAAAAATATAAAATATTAAGAAACATGTAAATAAAATAAATGAGAGATAAAAATAATAATAAAGAAGAGAAGAGAAGAGAAGAAATTAATAAAGTGTGCTTATTTGCATGATGAACAATGTAGGTTGCGAGTTTAACTAGTTAAGGTATGGTCGATGAAACTACTATACTGAGGGCCTCTGGTTTACGTTAGTGCTACGAAGGTCCGGTTAGCTTTCTTGTTGTTGAGAGCTGTGGTTGGACATTAATGGCGAAAAAGATAGTGGTTTGCGGTAACAGAAGTATAATAGGGAGCGTTGGGCTAGTAGTAAATAACAAAGCTTGGGGTTAAGATCAGAGGCTAAGAATTGCCATGATAGTTACATAGAAACGTTTTCATGGTGAGCTTTGATTTGGGGGAGGTTTGGGATCGTCAAATGTTTGTCAACAGATTCATTGTATTGCCTTGAAATTCATGTTTATTTATCCCATGTACGCTTTTCAGTTAATACACAAGTTATGATTCTCAATTCCTAATTCCATATTTAGTTATGATCGATCTTTTAAATAATTTTAAATCTCGTTAATTTAGGCCAAACAATAGTATTCTCAATTTGCGTGGTTGCTCATTTGTGAGCAAAATACTCCATATATGAGTTACTTCTACATGACTGCAACTAGCTAGAGCCAAGTATGACCATAAGTTTCATCTTTAAAATATAGCAATCACTGTTGAATATGAGCTGATATAAGGTGATCCTTCTTGCAAATGGACCACTGGTGCTCCACCTCCAAGTAATTAATATAACCATAGGATTTGTTATTATTTTGATAATTACTTTTAAGTTCTCTTTTAATACTTATGTCTCACCAGGGTTTCGTTATGGTGGCTCACTCTGGATGATGCATTCGAATTGATACCATGAATATATATATTTTTAAAATGATTGGGGTGAGAGTGAAATAATCATGAACATAAATTGGACAGAATCTATCTATGGGTCATGAATTGACGATATATTGAATTGAGAAAATTGAAACATTTTCTTTTCAAACATTCATTATGGAATTCCATATATGCTTCATATGTATTTATGATGATTGGATATGACATGCATTGAAAGAATAAATAAGGATCAGCTAATTATGATCAAATTGTGTAGTGAGTGGCTCCTACTCTAAAGGAAGAGATAATCCTCCAATAATTTTGTATTATTGTTTTGTTCTTAAAGTTCTACATGTTTGGGTTACTTTTTCATTGATTTGCAAAACTCACCTCTTGTAGCATTTTTAAGCTTTGTTTCCTCGTGAAGATCATTGTCACACTGTTGTAAATTGAAAATTGTATTACAAACTAGATATATAAGTTTCTGAAACTTTAGAACTTTTAAATTTGTCTTGTATAAAGAGATTAACGTATGCACTTGACTGTGAA